CCTATGTTTCTCGGGAAAGATGATACATATTATCTGATGCTTTGCACTCAGAGCTGTCTAAGCAAGACCACCATAGGTTCTGCAAGTACCCGTTTAGTCCCACTTTCTTTATCCTCTACAGCGGAATCGGTTCCGAAGGGCTTGGAGCATTACATATCGGTCAACAGCCCTTGATGTTTTTATGGGTCTTCCAGAGCAAGGTCTGTCCTGTTCTCTACCAGTGGCCTGGAATCTGTCCCTCATCCTGTGAATGGTACTCCATACTAGTGGTGTAACGATTCTTAGATAGTATCGATGTTTGCATCGTCAACTACGCGATACGAGTGCATCGATTCAAAACACATTCAGGCGATATATCAGGATATTTATATCGCAAGTGTCCTTGATACATCGATGTATCGCCACAAGAGACGATATATCCCGATACTACTTAAATACTATATTTTTTGTACTTAAAGTTGTAAGGAGTATTACATTAGGATTAGGAAGGGAGTCTCTTTGAAATACTTCTAAATTTTAAAAACAAACTGAACCTTATAGGAATTTGTTTGTGTCTGCCATCTTTGTGGAGTTGGTGTATCAGTGAAAGAATGTGAACAATTTTCAATCTCTTTGAACTGTAAAAGACTTGTCTTTAAGTAATTGAAACATGTTTTAGTTGTTTGACAAATAACACCATTTATTAACAACTATGAACGATGTCTTAGCTTTGTTAAGAAAGAGAAGATACAATTTAGAAAGCATACTTAAGAGGGTTTTTTCAGTGATTCTGGTATAAATTACATGAATTGTCTGTGAAAGCTTTTGTGCAGAAACACAACTTTCCAAGGGAAACCTAGATCAAGGTATGCTGAATATATTTGATTGTATTTTCTTAAGCATTAAATGCTGAAACTTTATTACATGAACAGCCTTTTAAGTGTGTGAATGTAACACATGTTCTGCTGTATAACAAATAAAGATTCAGTCATTTTATCTGTCATATATGTCCTGTTTTTAGAATTGTAAAGTATCGGGATACGTATCGTATTGCCACCATTGTATCGTGATTATAATCGTCTCGCAGGTTCCTTGCCAATACTTTCTTGATATATCGTCTTGCCTCATTAAACAGGTATCGTGATGTATCGTCTCGCCACGTAGGCACCGATACACAGCTCTACTCCATACTATGATCAGATACCCGTGCTTCAAACAGTTAAAAATTGCCATTGAGGTGTTCGGTCAAATAAATACGTTGTTCACTGGTCCCTCGGGGCCCATGGGTTGATGTACCCTCGATGTTTCTTTATGTTCCCCTCACCCTTGGGGCTCAGGGAACATAGCTAAACATCGAGGGTACATCAGCCCATGTCCCCCTCAAGACCAGTGAACAGCTTATAATATACTAGCACACATTTGCCTAAATTTAAATTAAAAACTATGTAAAACTATTGCAACACTGTTCTACAATGAATAACACTGCCTCATAAAACATTCCAAACTATGAAAATTAAATACCGGTATAGGGGATTCATATTCAGAGACAGTTTGTGGATCTCCTGCAGGAAAATCCTTTGACAAACTACATTCACACATCTGTCTTGACCCCAAAATCTGCGTGGCTATTATGCTCAGATTGACAACAGACACTACATATCAATATCTGGACTTGCTTGTCACCAAATATATCACATCAACTTGTCCTTTTAGGACCTGTTTATGTTCCAGTCATCAGGGGCCGTGGGCTAGCCTAGTTGGCTTGTCACACCGAGTCTCGGGTTCGATTCCCCACATGGATACAGTGTGTTGAGCCCATTTCTGGTGTCCCCCGTGGTGATAAACCGTGAATTCAGGATTATTGCTAAAAGTGGCGTAAAACCATACTCACTCCAGCTGTCAGTTCCATTATTTCATATGTGCACATTCATAGTAAAAAAGTATAAAAAGTGAAAGATGACCGCAAAAAACAGTACTACCTACCTCATGAAATGTTCATATATGTTGTACTGAGTGAAAACATTTCAAATATATGGCAGTCAGTTAATATTATTGATCATTTTGTTTGATTTAAACTATGAAATAAATTACAGATATGAAACAGTAAAAAATGGGGGTTGGCATCAGAGATTTTGAGAAATGGCTGTTGATTTTCACACTTCAGTACAAAATACAAGCGGCCATAGCCACACAGTCATGTCACTGGTGAAGCAACATGCAACACAGAAATATGTCCGTAAAGAAGCGTGAGCCACCACATGAGATTGTGCTTCATTGATTCCATGTGCTGTGGCTCCAAGAGCTCTTGTCTTCTACCCTAAATGACAATGTTTATTCATGCAAAGCAATCACTAAGAGTAATTGCCTATTGATTTATGATTGATATGGGTTTTTTCACTGATTTGGTATTGAATATTCATGGCGGAGCAACATTGTGCCAGTCACTTTCAACGTCTTGGACAATAAATTCATTGTATATTATTTTATTTTTGGAAGGGATTGCCAACTGCTGTGGCAGTCCCACTCTGAGCCCCATGCATGGTGTTTCTGCTGCAGTTGGGGAGGAACTCTAGAACACTTTCACTGGACCAAACTGAGTACGCCGTTAAATATGTCTGTGAAGTTACTTAATCATTTTGTCATTTTACTGAATGCCAAGTAAGCCCGTCATAGTCAGTTCTCTGGAGCCTGGTACCATGATGTCTGGTGTCTGTAGACCTTGGTTTTACACAGACGTTGAAAAATGGGAGTCATGGTGACTCACAATATTTGTTTTTGGGAGTAATTTTCAATATTTGGGAGTCATGAAAATTTAATATTTCTTTGTGTAAATCAAAAAGCAAGAGTTTTGCCAAGTTTTTATTGTTTTGTTTTGTGTTGTATTGCCATTTATATGATAAGTTAATAAATAGTATATTTCCACTGTTAAATTCAGTCATAGCAAACTCCAGTATATTGAACAAATAATCGCACTTGTGATTTATTCACTGTAACGTTCAGTTATTAACATGAACTGAACGAAATATTTAATGAAGGCCTTTAGCATGAAAAATGTATGATTATTTACTCGCAACATTTGTGAACTTTGTGACAATTTATCACTTGCAAAGGTGAGTCCCAACAAATCACTTCATTGGCATGATGTTTGTGTTAATCATTCTCAGTATGTAACTGTGTATCTTACACCACCAAATGCAACTACAGCATAGCTCAATTCAAACAGCCAGGATTACTGTCTCCTCTTGAGTTCTCTGGAACAATCTGACAGCTCTGTTAAAGTCAAACTATCACCGAAAACTATCATTGTTTGCTTATCAAATCGATTTGATTGAACTGAATTCGGAGGGTCACCCATAAAAATTGTGTAAAGCTTGACTTGTATGATAATAGTTTGAGAGTCTTTTAGAAATACGTTTCGTAAAATCCTGCTGTAGACATGTTTTTACTGTAGACCAGTTAAGCTCAAACTTGGCATGCTTGCTCCCACCAAGGATGGGGATGAAAAGTTTAATGTGTTTCAAATGTCTCAAAGTTCACTCATGTAAATCTTGAGGGGCGCCGCTTTGGATGTATGTGTACAGACAAGAAAACTCTTTCTTGTGAAAAAGAGCAATGGGTTAATTTGAAATTATGTACATAAAGTTTGCTTTAATCTGTGTTTATCATGAATATATAGTGCAAGAATTCATTCATCACTGACTTTATACAAGTAGCATGTTCATAACACTTTTTAATTGGATGTAATGCTGTGATTTCTAAGTGTGCCTTCAGGCCACTGGGAACATGTTTATCATGTTTATAGATATAGTGATTGCAACGTTGCCACTGGTATACTAATACACAAGAATATACAATTTTTGACAATGTAGAAATGTAATTTTTCGTTTCTCTTGACTTTTCTCAAAATTCATCGGCAGTGTGGTATATTCTTACGTACATCACCATCTAAACTTCCTGCTTGAACCATTCTTAAAACATGAAGGAATATGATTGTTCATTTTGAAACATCTGCAGACTTGATGTACATGATTGCTTTGTTTATGTCCAAGGTCAGTGATAAGAATGCATGGAACCTTATAGATGACAACTGCGGGTTTAGAGCAATAACTCCTGTGTTGATGTAGACTATCAATGTGGCACCATATAGATGGACATTTATGCATACTATACTAAGTAGTGGTGTGCAGCAGATTTACAATAACAATAGTAGGAGACTGACAACAAATAACACAGATGAATAGGATGAAGACAAATGTACAGTTTGAAATAATGCTTTCAGATGTAACAACTTTGATCAGATAGTAATAGAAAACATCTTGACTGAAAAGACAGTTACAATATTGTTTACAGAGGTACAATTCCAAACAATCATTTTATAATAACACTGACCATTCTTAAAAGTTCATGCCAGATTTTACACATAGTCTTCATTCTGGCAACATTTGGCAATGTTGTTGAGAGTTATCTCTTTTTCTGTTGATTACCCGCTTTCATCAGACAGTTTTTATAGTTCTGATTACACACAATGCCTTTTATTAGCTATACCACATGATTTTTTCATATTGCAGATAACAGAATATAAATAGCATTGTCTGATAGCTGACATTCTACTGATTTCAGATCACTTTTCCTTTTTAAAATCGGACCATAAATAACTATTTTAGAGGCAAATAAAGCATCGAAATTCGGGGTCCCGGTCTAGCTCAATTTTGTTCATAATTACTGGAAAGTCGCTGACCGCTTTTTTCTTCAAAAATATCTAAATTTTTCCAAAACTTTGCTGTTTGTTGGTGTATTTAAACACAATTTGGTACATAGGGTAATTGGATACCACTGATTTCAGAATTCACATAAATCCAATGGATTAAGAGTTATTCCAAAGATTCAAGCCAAAAATTGAATGAATAGTGAGTGCCCGAGTAATATGGACCATGACTCCATGGGAAGTACACTGTCTTTAACCCAGGAATTCCTACAAAGATCACTCCTAAATATCATTACATAAACAACAAACACACTCATACTTTTCAAACATATTTATTCTTGATGTACTCATTAAACATGACCAATGTAAACTTGACAGATAGCAATATCACAGTCAAAACTTATGAATATTTAAATCAGTTGTTTTGACTGACATAAGTAGAAATTTCATTGTCCACACAAAAATCAAATGCATCACACAAAATTGTCTGTCTCAGCTTGAATACAATAAAGGAATAACAATGTTCACAATATTGTCTGTTAGAAAGTTACTTTCTTCACTGGACTTGACACTTCCTCACATGATTATACAGCCCAATACCTGCAATGTCACCAACAAAAGAAATATAAAATATATTTTAGTTTTTTTGCATGATTATATTTTGTTACTGTTTTGTTTTTACTTTCCAGATGTTCAGTTGCAATAAGTATTGCTTGTATTCATGGAATTTCAGTTTACCTGTGTTTCACCAGCTGAAAAATCAGCAGAATGTTATGAACTTTTCAGAACTTACACTGACAAATGTACTTTCAAAATCAACCAATAAAGAAATAATTTCTGTGCACAGGAATGTACTAAATGCAGATTAAACCATTGCCCCTACATTAGGGGTCCCTTCAAATATTGATTTCTTTTTAAAGATATTAATGTTATGTACAGTAACATCTAAAAATTGAAATAAACGTACTGTGGGTATGTTGAAAAAGTTCAGTGTGAATGTCAGTGTGTGTAAGTGATGTCCATTGTTTTCGGTCTATTTTACAGGCAATCTAAAAATCACACCACATTACCGGAAATTCGAAATAACATTGATCATTGATGCTTGGGGAATAGACAATAAAACACAACCGTTACTTAGAATAAACATAATGGTGTGTCGCCTGTAGATCGTTAGTGTTGTTACACTTCGATTGACATTACCCCGCGACCCTACTAAAAAGCAGACGTTATCAAAACAATCTAACCATGTCAGTGCACAAGTCAAATTTGCAATTAAAGATCACAAGACAAGATTATCTACCATTTCAGTCCTAATTTGTATATGCTAGGCACTGTATTATATGCTTGGATTAAGATTACCGTGCGTATTTGTCTCGTACACAAAGCCGGAAATAGCAATCAGCTGTGCACACCTCCCCGGCGATCTACCAGTGATTCAGTTAAAACATACCCAATAATACAACGGGACAAATTCTGATGCAGTGATCTGAGGAATATAGTATCTAAAATCATTATTTTACCAACAGAAATAATTGTGCCATTTTAATTACAGGATCTTTTGCATAATTGTAAAATATATAATAATATATGATAATTCGCTATGCATTAACTGTTTGACATTGTGACTGAGAGACAGTAGCCGAAACTGTTAGTGATCTACGGACTGCTGAGCGCTGCTGTTTGTGCTAGCACGTCGGGCTCAGGGCGGTGAAAATGGCACGTTTTGAACGGCACTACTTTCATATAATACGATCTCACGCTGTTTTACCCAATTTTAATATTGTTGATATATAAATCACAATAAAGGGGAAATGTTGCTCTTTATGCTAAGCGATGTTACAGATTGAAAACGGACTTACCTTGCAAATGGCGAGTACTTGAAAATGGGGGAGTTTTTCAAACGCCAATTCCACACCGTTCCGCTTCATTCGTTGAAATATAAATTATTCCACATGAAAGACCATCTTCTGATCTTATTGTCCACCAACTTTTATGACATTTCATCTCAAAACAGCAGCACCACGGTGCTTTGAAAATACCCCGACGAAACTGGGCACTGCCATCAAACGGTCCAAAGGACAGGACCTTTGACAGATTGACAAAGCTGACATTCACCTCGCTGTCACTAATGAACTGAACAAACAACAAACACCATTATTTGATATTATTTACTTTAATGTGTTGTCTAAACATATCAGAAAAAATAACTGAAAAAGATTCAATAGTTTTTCTGTAGTATACTAATAAAGAAAATATTCCAGGGTAATTAGCCAAATCTAGTCAATTAGTGGGGGGCTGTGGTACAGCTACTTTTATTAAGTGGTCAAATGTACCCTTTTCTGTACTGATGTGTACAATGTTTCAGAGAGACGAACTGCTAATATTCCATGCCAGCTATAACTATATAAACTGTAACATACATTATGTTTGGGATGATACCTTCTCAGTAAAGTACAGATTCTAGAACCTTTTTGATGGTTGAGAAAGTGTCATCCCAAATATAATGTATGTTACAGTGGGACTTATAGGTTGGAAATTTGTCTTCCTGAGACAATCTTAATGGCTGCAGTCATGTTTCATGGGAGAGTAACTGCACCACTCATAGGTCAATACAGATTGATGGCTATGAGCTACTGTTGGATAGATGCACTTTTCAAAAAAGGTTTTATCAAGTTATGAATAAACTGAAAGTCAATATTCAGCTGATTCAACCAGCTGATAATTGTGTTGAAGACCATATTCGTGTAGTTTTGCTACCACATACAAATGACCAAATTAAACAAGTTATGTCATTACAGAGCACACGAAGGTGTAAGCACAGGCCAAAATAGGGAATTGCATCACACATCAACTTTGTCACTGATGCATTAAATGTTTGAAATATCCTCCACATGTCTACCCAAAAAAGTAATTTGAAAATATAACATATTACACCATTGCTGGTACTTTGATTTTAACATATTCTTACTTTAAATTAATGAACAAAATGCATAACAGAGGTAATCTGACTTAAATAAATAAAAACAATTTGACTATTTCCCTAAATTCAAGTGCACATATAATATTCAGTTGTTGTGTTTTCTGTATTGCTTCACAACTGAAAACACAAAAATCTACAAGTTTCTAATAATCATTCTCATTTTTATTGATATCATTGTACAATGTGTGAAGCCCATTTCTGGTGTCCCCCCGCCGTGATATTGCTGGAATATTGCTAAAAGCGGCGTAAAACTTAACTCAGTCAGTCAGTCAGTGATATCATTGTAAAGTTAATTGTTTTCACAAATTAGTGTACCAAGCATTATTCTTGTTTTTATTAAGTTATTCTTTTGTTTGGTTTTGAAAACCCTTGGATGTGATCAAATCTTTTACTCTTGATTAATGATATACATCTACCCAATACTCTTTCATACATGATGTCTATGTTGAATAAAGGACCAACACAATGTCCTTCAGTTTGGAACTGGTTGATGTAAATACACTATTTCAGAAGTCATCACATATTTCATAGAAATATTTTTTGTGTATTTTTTGACACTTGGTGGTTACCATTGTTAGTAGCTCACTTATGATCACAACGTTACTTTTCTGAAAGGGTAGATGTACAGTCAGGCCGCGGTAATCCGGCCCTCGTTAATCCGAATACACCGACTTCCGAACGCTACTCACTGGGCACCGAATCATCTCCCTATATATTGTATATAATTGACACCTCGTTAATCCGATGATTCAGTTTCCGCCTCCGAACGCTGGTCAGTCGGAACGGATTGGACTAATTACGTTGTAAATAGCTGCGTTAATCCGAACGATTGAAGTTGACCGCGCTGCTGACTGGTCCACCCAAAGTGACATGTTGTTTGTTTAGCGACTTAGCGACTCAGACACATGCTTCTGCAGCAGGTCCACAATAACATTGTAAAAAGAGCAAAGTAACGATGTTTCGAGGAATTCATTAAATAAATAGAATAAACTAATGAATAAAATCAACAAAATATATACATGAAGCATTTTTGTCACAGGTCATAACCTAGCACGATACGTCCAATAATTTCCATAATTTACGTATAGGTAGCGATTTCTTGCTTAATATGTTCAAAATAGCATTATTTTACCCAAAATTTGTCTAAATCTAAAAGTTTTCGTTTACGGGGATGGTATGCCGTAATATGATTGGCTGCCTTAGGTCACGTGTCTGATTTTGACCAATCACGACCCTTATAGCAGACTGTAGTGAAAAAGCATCATTAGAAACCAATTTGTATCCAATAAAATCGCTTCTTTCAACTGTGAAAATACTCTCGGCAAGGGTTCAGTGATGTTGTTGATGTTCAGAGCTTTCGAACGATACCCGACATCAAACGATTCGCCTCCCTTTTACTCATACGAAGCTTCGAGAAAAAGGAGGTATTTTCCGTTGTTATGTCATGCTACCGAGAGGCAAGCCACAGATATCGGGAAATAGGTGACCATACATATTATTTAAGAAATCTTTTTATAATAATTTTCTGATGACGTAGAAATGAAAATATAAAAGAAAAAGGCACGGGCATGTTATGACATGTCACAAATGGAAAAAATCGCCATAGTTGTTGCTTTTTTCGTGGTTTGTCTGGACGTTATAAATGTAAGCTTGCATTTTCATTCAAAAATAATTTTATTTAAGTTGTAGTTGTATCAAGGGGAAGTAACTCGGTGCATATACTGTGGTTTCAGCAGTACGAACGTTTCACTATCCGAACGTTTTTTTTAAAAAACCAAAGTGTTCGTATTAACGAGGTCTGACTGTATTCCATCAGTGAAATATAGGTTGTGTGCTGTTATGCTACAGGTTGGGGTTTAACTCTCTGATTATTCAGAAAACACTAGTCTGCAAGGAGAGACAAAGTTGGCTGTAAGCTTCACTCAGCAGTGTATCCATGAGAGCACAACCACACTGAATGTCATTGTCCACACCGCTGGACACATGAAGGCTGACATCAGGAAATACTGACACAGTGGAACTGGATTTGGGAATGGCATTGATCACCCAAAACTGTGATCTCCTAGGAGATATCATTTTGACAGTAGATTTTTTACAATGCCCTGACAATGCTATGACGTGATGAACTTGGTGAGGTCACAATGCTATGACATCGCTGCACTGCAAGTCTAATGGTAGTACAATGTTGAGAGATGTACATTTTTCATTGAAAACTACACAAAGAATGATTTTTGATGATAAATAGAATTTCACCCTCGTGTCTACTGATATCAATTATATCAACACTCGTTGATAAAGGTAAAAATATCCTTGGCAAGCCTCGGATATTTGTAACTTATCAACTCATGTTGATATAATTGATATCAGTAGACACTTGGTTGAGATTCTCTATTTATAGCAAATATAATCTTGTGTTTTGTATCTGTGACAGTAAATTGTGAAATTTATGTTTTGTACAGCTTGCTTTCTGGTTCAACAATATATTCCAAGCCTCCAAGTTGAGTTTCATTGAGCTTGATTAGGTACAAAGTGTTCCCTAGAAATGACATTTGTTGGTTGGGTACCCATGTTTTGGTGATGTTGGTTCATACCATGTTCATGTTGTAGCAAATGCAACGGACATGGGAAAATTCCTTCCAGTAGCATAGTCCAGTCATCCTAGCTCATATACAGCTCAACCTAGAACAAATTGCAATAAAAGCTAACTCTTCTGTTTTGTAATCCCCATAATATGTATTTTAAGATATCAAAAGTATAGGACTGTATAATGAAAATTTTATTTTTCCCGCCAAAACGCACATGCATGTTAATTTGTCCCAAGAGCGATTGAATGAGTACACTACACATAGAGATGTCACGTAGTAGGGCATTTATCACATAAATTAAATATTTAGTTCTCCACTTATTCATGATATAGATGATTTGTAATTAAAAACATCAAATGTACCGTATTTAACATAAATACAAGTAATAAGAATATAATTCTCTTTATAACTTGCTAGTTTATTAATATATATACAACAGCAGGTTGATCTGTGTATCCGTTACTGGTGAATTTCCAGCTATCATTTCATTGTATGTGTATGTTGAACACCAGACAGTATGAAAATAAGCATTTATGTAAGTATTTACCGTATTTACTTTATTACACAAATTTTAACTACTGTAATATGATTCTCGGAAAATGTAGAAGGTACACTCACATATAACATATAATTTGATAAGACTGGATCTAATTACTGAATGGAATTAAGTGTGTTTAAACAAACCTCAAATAACAGTGTTGTTAAAGGTCACATAAACCCTAGGGGGGTAAAAATACATAAATCACTAACTGGCATCGTTATAAATGAAACCCCGTCATTAAAACTACTCATTTCGACCTTTAATTGACTTAAATCGACCTTTTTGACAACAGTGCACAATTCTCA